AAATAAATACTTAAGAGGACAACAATTCAGATCATAGATACTACTGTAATAAGTACACTAAAATTTTTGAATTTTATAGGAGATGGGACATAAAGGGTCCTGTGCTATCAAAATAAGTATATTATAACAGTTTTCCAGTTCGTGCAAGCCAAGTGTCTTGAGAAATGGCTGCTTATTCTAACTTACACAAAGTTTATGCAGTAGCAGAGGCTATGCTGAATCCCTGATGTGAGATGGCAAACTGGTTTTCCAGGATCACCATCAACACTATCCTCCGGGACTCAATCCAACCTGAAACACCTAAATCAGTCACTTTTTGCTCCCCCAGGCTGATCAGAAAGTTCTAGAAGACTTCCACAGCCTTTCTACATCTTGTTTTCCTTTTAATGTTTCATGCCACAATGTTAGAACTTGGCCCTCATACTTTGTAGCTGACCACTTTCTCAAATGCCCTTATCAATATCTTCCTCTAATTAGAGCTACTATTTATTGTTATATATACTAATATTTACAAATGCATATACACCAAAGTCCTGTTTACAGTTATAAACTATAGCTACTAATACTTCTACCAAATGCTAAACACTGTGCACTCTCATTTAATCATCAAATTCAGAATCAAGTACAATTATTACCCCAACTATGCAGATATAAAAACTGAGGCTTAGAGACAGCAAATGCCTAATGCCATAAAGTAAATAACCAAAATAGACATTTGAATCAGCTGATAATCACCATACTGGTTTTATGTCCCTTCCTTTCCCAAAAGTTGGCGCAGCCCGGCACAGTGGTACATATGCCTGTAGTCCCAGCTACTCAGGAGGCTGAGGTGGGAGGATCACTTGAGGCCAGGAGTTTGAGGCTGCAATGTGCCATGATCACACCTGTGAATAGCCACTGCACTCCAGCCTGGGCAACAGAGCGAGACCCTGTTTCCTAAAAAAAAAAAAGGTGGTGCTTATCAATGGCCTCTCTAATCAAAGTCAACCCTGTTCACAGGCTTTAAGGTCTCCTAGCATTTAGCTCCCCTGCCTTAAGAGCTTCAGTTGTACTTACTAGCAAGTAAACCCAAAGGTTCTTTCTTTTACAGCCAGGGTACATTTAACCTAAAGTCTTCAAGAAATAAAACCTCTTCATTCATCTTTTCCAAGGAATCTTCTCAGACAAGTAACATCTGACTAAAAACAAAACCAAAATCTACCAAGTCCTGATGTCCATTAATGCTACTTCAGGAAAATAATCACAGCTACATTTACTGAGTACTCACTGCATCCAGACCCAGTTCTAAGGGCTTTAAACATATTAACTATTTGGGTCCTCACAGCAATCCTATGAAGGTAATAAGCTTCATAGGAGCCAGGTAATTCGGTAATTACTTCAAATATTATCTTAAGAACAGCTAGGATTGAAACTTAGGCAGCCAGGCTCTAGAGCTCAGGGTTATAAAACTACCCCATGATGCCTCCTCCATTTCTATTTCTACTACCACCTAGTTTTAGTGCCATACATTATGAATGATATGAAAGAATACAATCCATGGTCTTTTTCTTAATTTTACCATTTAATTGAGAAAATTTTTCTTTAGGAAAATATTAGGAAGATGACAATGATAACATAGCAATTTTACTTAGTGGAATACATATGGTAGTAACATGTAGGTAACCTCAGGACACTTAACTTTCAAGGGAAAGTATGGTAGGGAAATAATCTTTCCTAAAGCTATCTGGGCAATCATAAAACAATCCTATACAACTGCTTAACAGTGTAACTTATGCAATTACTTTACTACATTGCTTCCAAATGATTTCATTTGTTTTCAACCTGCCGCTTTCCTTCGCCTATATGTTCCTGGCAGGTTAAAGAGGTGACTAAACGTTCTCCTTTACGAACTGTTTAAGAGCAGAGTTTAGTGTTCTGTAAGCAACTGATGCTCTGTGAACATCAGAAGGCAAATGTGAAAACAAAAGCACTACACAATTATTACAAGTACTATGACATGGCAACTCACAGGTTGTTTTGAAATCATAAGTAACATGCAAAAGAATAAATGCTTTTTATAAAAGACATTAACAAGATCAGAGACTGAGGAAATGTATTCATGCTCAAGAAGCACTGACCCACGCACAGTGTCCACATGCACTGATGTCACTTGGACTGTGAAGCTGATTTTGGTCCCTCCACCACCCTCAATCTGTAAAAGGCATCCCTGAAAGGGAATCAGCACCTGCCAGTCCTGGTCACCAGCACTGCCACCTTCAACCTTTTGCTACAGAAACATGGCCACAATGATTGGTGAGGGGGCTTTCTGTCTCTGGCAAAGCTAGAAACAAATTAAGGCTACTCCTGAACTAGGCTAATTCTGAATTTATTAATAAGATTTTAAAAACTGTACTACTTTGTTTATTCATAAAATAAACTGGCACCCCAATAAAGACTTTTTTTACATGCTTAAGGCTTCACTTTTCACCTAATCAGTACTGATCATGCCACAGAAGATACACTTTAAAAGAATGTTTATGCATAAAAAAGGACTGCACACCTGGATAGCCTCCTGAGACCCAACATCTCACTGTCATGAGTGTTCCTGGGAAAGCAGAAACAAACATTACATGTAAAGAGAAACAAAACAAGCAACATTGGAGGGTCATGTATAAACCATGTGTGGTTGAGGAAAAAGAAAATTATTCAGTCCAAAGTATCAAGGATAATATTTGAAACATTTCAACAAGGAAGACAGAAGGTGGTGGAAAGAATGCACCCTCAGAATGAAGAGAATTCAATTTTTCTCACATTATTTGGTATTTAAAAAAATGGCAAAGGCAGAATCATACACAGCCCTTAGAAGTCAAGTGTTACTTGGAAAACAGCCGTGACTTCTGCAGCCAAGATTAGCTTAATTTTCTAGGCTGCCATCTGCCTGACTGCTGAAGAAATCTCTTATTACCAAAACCTCTCAACATAACCCTCATCGTGTTATTTCCTTTTTCACAGTCCAAAGTAGAAGACTTAATTCTTTTAATCTTTTGACGTCCACTCATGTCTACATTTCAAACCCAGCTTCTTTTATTATTTTAGTGGATGATTTATACTCTTAATTTGTGTTTTTCACTTCATTTGTATAAAACACTTCCTAAGAAACCTGTTCATAAAGAGACTCTTTGTCTGAAGTGAGATTTTTTATTTTAAGAATATAAAGCTTAACGGTTTTTTACAGGAGGTTTTAGGGGAAATTTTTTTTTTTTTTGAGATGGAGTTTTACTCTTGTCACCCAGGCTGGTGTGCAATGGTGCAATCTTGTCTCACTGCAACCTCCGCTTCCCAGATAAGCGATTCTCCTGCCTCAGCCTCTCAAGTAACTGGGATTATAGGTGCACACCACCACATCTGGCTATTTTTTTTTTTTTTTTGCATTTTTAGTAGAGATGGAGTTTCACCACATTGTCCAGGCTGGTCTTGAACTCCTGACCTTAGATGATCCAACCGCCTCAGCCTCCCAAAGTGTTGGGATTACAGGCATGTGCCACCACGCCGGGCCAAAAACTTTCTTTTAATCTATTTGGGTGTCCCACAAACTACTGGCCACAGAGATATATAATTTTGAGGATCTGGCCTGGGCTAATGCTTCATTGGAACTGTTTTCTTAATACTCAACTAATTTAAGATATCTCTGTTCATCCAGTGTTGGCACTAATTGTACCATCACTTTTGCCTCCATTACCTTCTTTTGCCTGAGAAGTTTTTATCTTTGATAGGTGACTGATCTGGAAAACACAGGTGATGCTGTAGTAGAGTTACATAATTACACTCAAAGTTGTTCTTGATTTGATGTCTTTGATCTGGTTTCACACCTTTCCTCCGTTGTCCCTGGTATAACAAGGAATTAAGAACTTGGAAGGATGAAATTCATAGGCCAGTAATGGAGGAGACTCACATCTCAGGGTACACCAATCAATTTAATTAACACGGCAAAGCTTAAAAAATTCTCCAAAATGCTATCTATAAGAAGGAAAGACAGGACAGCTTCTCTTTTTTTAAACTACTTCCTAAATTCTTCTGATCTTAGTGAATCTTTTAATGCATGTACAGACTGTGCCAACAGTTACCAAAGACTTCATTCAACTGTGAATCTTCATTCAACTAAGCCAAGCCTGGCTATTAGTGATTAGCTTATTCCTTATTTAAGGTATCTTCCTTGGACTGACTGTTGCTGCAAAGACGGTGAGGCAGTCATGATTAAAGGACAATACAGTGTTCCACAATTATCAGGCGAGAGAAACTCTGTGTGGGAGGTATAGACAGAAGAGATAATCTTGCACAATTCCTTATAGGATCCCATCTTCAGAATCTCACAGTAAGATTCCCTTTCACAAAACCCACGAGAAGGAGAAAAGGTTAGGGAAGTTGAGAGAAAGGTTAGATGGGGGGGGGAACCCCAAAAATCTAGCTCAGCTTTTTATGAGCTATCAGAAGTTATGATTTGTTATCTTACAATCTGGCATTCTTAAAATGGCAAATAACAATGAGGTAAACAAGCATAAATAAAGGGATAGGAGCAATGGCTTACCTCACTGCAGTGGTAGTATCAAATTTCTCCTTACCTTTACTAATTCAAACTGCGTCTTTGTAATTTGCCATGTAGAAATTACCCAAGTTAGATTTAAGTGGCATTCTTAAAATGCCTCATTAAAAATAATAACCCGGAGAGCAAAAAGAATAACACATTCTGCCAAGCTACATATGTAGTAGGCATCTTTATCTGAGTCATCAAAAAGTAACATGGCACTTGAACCAAAAAAAGGTAATCATCCAATTGCAAATGATTTTTAAAAGACAACACGTTACAATATATTTAAAGCTTACAAATTGATAGCTTAAAAAAAAAACTATTTTCTTCATTTATCTAAAACAAAATAAACAGGAACTGAGATGTCCCCAGTTATAAGAAGAGTATATACCTTTTTCTTTTGGCACTACCAGTATCAGAGGTGGCTGAAGAGATCATGCTGTCTCCATCTTCAATATCGTCTCTCCTGGCAAGCTCTTTCTTCTTTGCCTAAAACAGAGCAGATGTCAGGAGTCAAGCTCACTCTGCCAAACACTCCTCTGAATATATGAATTTTAAAGAGCTAGACATACCAGATTCACTCAGAAAAATACAATCACATGCAGGATGTACAAAATGAAAGAGTCATTAAACATTTTCAATAACCACTTTTAACAAAAGCCTGCATGACAAAAAGAGTAGGTTAAAAAATGCATCTACAGAGTTGAGGGGTCAATGCCAGCCAGAGCATTTAAGACTACAATGAGTGCTGACTGGTTAAAAGCACTGAGGCAAGCTGTAGGAGCATTCTGCTCTGGTTGCCCTATTTAAGTAAAACCAACTCAAAGAGGGCCTTTGGTACTCCTGAATTCTAAGGGGCAGTGTGGCTAAGAATAAAGTTTAATGCAAGAAGTGAAAGATCTACTTTTCAACATATACATTTTAAAAGACCTTATGCCAGAGCTGAAAGTCCAAGCACAGCAGGCTTAGGGAATGTACAGAGTACTAAAAAGGTAATACCTGAAAGTCTTAGCACTAAGGTTCACTGTTAATCACATAAAATGAAGATTCTACAGGTAATCTAAAATTGCCTTTGTTCAGAGATTTGCCTTTCCAGAAAGAAAGATTCTACCAAAATTTGTCAGATAGACCCAATTTGTGTTTCCTATCTACCTTTTCATCTTACAACCCCTAGATGAACAATGACCTGAGATGTCCTTTCAAGGGGTTCTCAGAGGGGATCTGATAAATTCATAGACAATATACAAAGATTAATAATTAGCTTTCAGCTAACCTTTCTCATAGTACCAGCCCTACTTTAACAGGGACAAAATCTGGAACCAAAGGAATAAAATCCAAATGATGGAATATCATTCATGATTGGAGAGTGACTCCATGAGAATCCAAAAATTACTGCACAAGGACCAGTCCCTGCTTCCACCAATCACAAAGCTAACCCCATCTAAACTATTATTTCTACTCTATATGGCCATGACAACTCCAAAAAAGTATTCAGGCCAGGCATGGTGGCTCACCCCTTTAATCCCAGAACTTTGGGAAGCTGAGGCAAGCAGATCACAAAGTCAGTAGTTCAAGACCAGCCTGGCCAACATGGTGAAACCCCATCTCAACTAAAAATACAAAAAATTATCTGGGCGTGGTGGCATGCGCCTGTAATCCCAGTTACTCAGGAGGCTAAGGCAGGAGACTTGCTTGAATCTGGGAGGAGGTTATAAAATACATATATATGTGTATATACATATTTTTTGAGATAGGGTTTCACTCAGTTGCCCAAGCTGGAGCACAATGGCACAATCTCAGCTCACTGCAACCTCCATCTCCCAGGCTCAAGAAATCCTCCCACCATAGTCTCCTGAGTAGCTGGGACTACAGGCATGTGCCACCAGGACCGGTTACTTTTTGCAGTTTTTGTAGAGATGGGAGTCTTGCTATCTTGCCCAGGTTGGTCTTGAACTCCTGAGCTCAAGTGATTCTCCAGCCTTGGCCGCCTAAAGTACTAGGATTACAGGTGTGAGCCACTGCACCTGGCCAAACGATGTGATATTGCTGATGGTGAGGGGGATCACACATCTTACTAGAACACACTCGAAACATGCAAAATTATTTTAATCATATATACAACAAACTCAGCAAAAAACAATAAATCACACCTGCATAACTTGCTGCAATTTTAGAACTCGCTTGTAGATGGCTGAATTGGGCACATTATAGCGTTTGGCATTTTCAAACATTAAATTCAGATCACACTCCAAATGATCTAAAGTTTCATATTCTTGATTCTTCAGCTTTGTTCTGTGAAAGACAAAGAAATTGCTAGAATTATCCATCAAAAAATTATGACACATTCTTCCTGAAAGTCAATGCAAAATCTTGACAAGCACTAGATGGTATCTTTACCAGTAATACTGATTAGGAACTTAAAAATGACTTTTGAGATATAAAGTAAGGAGGCAAAAGCACCATTACATTAAGGCAGTATGACAGTTTACTTGAAATCCAAAAGAATAAACTAAAACACTGTAAGAAATAATAAGAGGACCTAGTAAAGTGGTCAATTACAAAGAAAATATTCTACTTGGAAAAACCCTAGTGGAAAAATCCTGGTAATGGTTAATAAGCGAACCTTAGGAAGGGATGAAAATTAGGGAAGTTTTTAGTGACCTGGAAGAAGAATCACGGTGATCTAAACATTTCTGAAAACAGAAGACCATTCTAGTTCATAAGGGTTAAAGAGACAGTACTGACACTGCAAACAAATATTTATAAGCAGTAAAGAGTGGTCTTATGATGGTAAAAGAGAGATAAATATGTCAGATTCCATTCACTTCTATTTTTTCCAATATAAACACATAACTAATATGACATTTTAAAGTTGGGATTTTTACTTAAAAGTCTTAAGAATTCAAGTATCTCCCTTAGACACTATTATTATGTCAATGATCATAAAGCCCTTATGTACTTTATACAAAGCAGAGTCACTATTTGCTCTAACACTATATGGATGTGGACAGGATAGACTTTAAATCTTTTTATTATAGCATTTGCATGTTAACCATCAAAATCACAAAGACAGCAACAATATGTATAAACAGCTTTGGAGAATAAATGAATTTTCTCTTAGAATGGCATCTGCATGTAAAGTTTTATCCAAAATTTACCAAAATCATATTCAGATTCTGTGTTGTGCTCCAACAGATGAATCTTAGAGAACATCTCTGTGAAGAAGCAAACAACAACTAAGCACAAATTCAGCTCTCAGTACCAGGTTGTGTAGCTAGTACCTAGAGTTTAAATTACAGCCTCAGACTTATTCCTGCCAACTCAAAGGGTAGAGTGCTAGATGTTCTCAACACCCTCAAATAGACAGAAAACCCAAACTTGCAAATGACAACAAATAGTAAACCTGCAGATATTTATGAGATGACTATTAATCAAGGGTAGCAGGGGGAAGAAAAAGAGAAAAAAAAAAAAACAACAAACCATAGCGGGGACAAATCTCAGTACAGCAGAAGGCAGCATAAGGAGCCCACAATATCTAGTTCTGCTTACTCTTCCATTTTTGTTGCTTTTGGGGAAACTCATATCTTCCTTCTGCTAATAGATCTTCCTAGGAGCACACTGTACAATATTGCAGCCTCTAGCCATGTGTGGCTATTTAAATTAAAATTAAATAAAATTTAAAATCTAATTCCTTAGTTGCACTAGCCACATTTCAAGTACTCAATAGCTACATGTGACTAGTGTCTATCACACTGGAATATTGGTAATAAAACATTTTCATCATTGTGGAAAGTTCTGTTGAATAGCACTGACCCTAGACTTCCCTGTTGCTCTTTAGAGCACAATGGAAGGGATCCTAGGCACAGCAAGGCTCCTGTCAGGCCTCACTGGCTCACAGTCCTTGGAAGGCAGCAATATTAGACATAATAGTTGACCCTTCAGAACTTTAGTGTGCTGGGCTTCAATAACTTCCCTATTCCTTACTCTCCCCTGTGTGCCACACACTTGCCATTATAAAACAGAAAGCAAAGGGGAGATATTACTGACTTAAAGCAAAGTTTGTATTAGAAAATTTCAATTTGGAAGAAGGCTGTGTTGGCAGGGGACTGAGCTGGCTAAGGATTTGTCTTCTTTTGAACTAAGCTATATAATAAGACTATTTAAATAACAAAACAAAACAAAAAAAATGATGGAGAACGGAAACCAAGAACAAAAATTGTTAAAAATTTTGAACAGAAACTTCTCAACATCTGCAAAACTATCACAATCTTTTTCCAAGGCAAAGAATAGAAAAGATGTATTTCTAGGCTATTTTCCTAATGAATGTCAGGCTTAATTTCTGTGTTATTTAATAAGACCAAATAAACTATTTTTCTGTATCCTACTTGTATACAAGATCTCCAAAATCTGGATTAAATAAAAGCACCATAAATCCTGCTGATCAAGACTGTGTGTGGTGACTCATGCCTGTAATCCCAGCACTTTGGGAGGTCAAGGTGAGCTGATTCGCTTGAGCTCAGGAATTTGACACCTGCCTGGGTAACATGGCAGAACCCCGTCTCTATTGAAAAAAAAAAAATTCTTACTGATCAAATGGTGAAAACAAAAGTTACAAATGCAAAAGCATGAAACATACTTTGTTAGCCAGCTTTATTTCCTAGAAACCAGCAAGCACAAGAATTTTAACACCTACCATTTGGAAGCTTAATTATCTGCCATGAAGCCAACATATTGTTACTTAGTTAAGGTAGTTTTATCTGCTTCTTGACTCTATCTGGGTATTTTGTTATAAAGTATCATAGTTTATAATACTACTTCTTCCTTTTTGTTTTTGAGACAGGGTCTTACTCTGTTACCCAGTGGCATCATCTTGGCTCACTGCAACCACCGTCTCCCAGGTTCAAGCTATTCTCCGGCCTTAGCCTCCCAAAGTGCTGGGATTATAAGTGTAAGCCACCTCATCTGGCCAACTTCTTTTTTTAGTTTACTTTTAATTTAAATAAACAAGAAGACACAGCAGAACCAAATAAACTCTGCTTTTCTGTTCTTTATACTAAAAAGTCTCAGAATTTTTATTGATTTCCTGAAAAAAATAAATATTTTTGAAAATTTATAACATAAAAAAGGAGCTTGGAATGTTTAGGTAGTATCAAGATTCACAAAGAATAGGCCGGGAGTGGTGGCTCACGCCTGTAATCCCAGCACTTTGCAAGGCCGAGTCGGGTGGATCACGAGGTCAAGAGATCAAGACCATCTTGGTAAAATGGTGAAACACCGTACAAAAATACAAAAATTAGCTAGGCGTGGTGGTGGGCACCTGTAATCCCAGCTACTCAGGAGGCTGAGGCAGGAGAATTGCTTGAACCCAGGAGGCAGAGGTTGCAGTGAGGCAAGATCGCACCACTGCATTCCAGCCTGGCAACAAAGCTGGACTCCATCTCAAAACAAAAACAAAAACAAAGATTCACAAAGAATGATTAAAGGATGGAATGCAAACCAAGTGATTTTGAACACATCCATTTGATTCCAACCTAAGACTGTTGGTTAACTTTTTTTGAAGATATTTATTTTTTGAATGTTTTGAATTTTTTAATTGTTAACATTAGCTCAGGATCTATTTAAAAATAAATTAAAAGTGGATGGGTATGTTGGCTCATGCCTGTAATCCTAGCACTTTGAGAGGCCAAAGTAGGCAGATCAAGAGGTCAGGAGTTCAAGATCAGCCTGACCAATATACGGTAAAACCCCGTCTCTACTAAAAATACAAAAATTAGCCAGGCATGGTGGTGCACGTCTGTAGTCCCAGCTACTCGGGAAGCTAGACAGAAGAATTGCTTGAACCCAGGAAGTGGAGGTTGCAGTGAGCTTAGATTACCCCACTGCACTCAGAGCTACAGAGCGAGATCTGTCTCAAAAGAAAATAAGTGAATAAAATAAAATAAATTAAAAGCTCATGAATTTTGTGTCTGTCTGGAAAATAGGGTTTCACTTTCACAGATACAGAGAGTCCAACACATATCATAGAGTCCAAAAATGTACTCCACGAGATTATGGATTTTTTTTTAGCTTTCACAGAAGACATTTTAAAAGGCCAAGTGTGGTGGCTCATACCTGTAATCCCAATATTTTGGGAGGCTAAGATGAGAGGATTATTTAAGGCCAGAAATTCAAGTCCTGGGCACCAAGCATGACTCAGTCTCTACAAAAACATTTTAAAAAATTAGCCAGGCATGGTGGCATGTTTCTGTGGTCCCAGCTACTTGGGAGGCTGAGGTGGAAGGATCCCTTGAGCCTAGAGGTTCGAGTTGAATATGCCAGCTTGCACAGCAGAGCAGAGGCTGTCTCTTTAAAAGAAAAAAGCAAATTTGATATTGGGAGGTCTGGATAGAAAATGGGCAATAAAGAAAAGGTTACTTTTCCACTCCAATGTGAAAAATTTGGGTATAACACACGAAACACAAAATTTACCACCCTGACCTTTTTTTTTTTAAGAGATGAAGTCTCACTCTGTCACCCAGGGTGGAGTGCAGTGGCATGATCCAGGCTCACTGCAACCTCCGCCTCCCAGGTTCAAGTAATTCTCCTACCTCAGCCTCCCAAGTAGCTGGAATTACAGGCTCTCCCCACCACATCCGGCTAACTTTTGTATTTTTGGTAGAGTTGGGGTTTTACAATGTTTTTCAGGCTAATCTCAAATTCCTGACCTCAAGTGATGTGCCCACCTCGGCCACCCAAAGTACTGGGATTATAGGTGTGACCTACTGCACCCAGCCTACCTTGACCTTTTTAAGTGTACAGTTCAGTCGTATAAAACACACCCATAAAGCTGTGTAATTAACATGACCACTCATCTCTAGAACTGTTTACATTTTGTAAGACTGATACTCTATATCCATTAAACAGTAACTTCCTGTTTCCTTATTCCCCTAGCCCCTGGCAATTACCATTCTACTTTCTGTCTCTGATAATTAAGCTATTCTAAGTAGAATCATACAGCATTAGCTCTTCTATGTCTTGCTTATTTCATTTTATCATGTTTTTAAGTTTCATTTGTGTTATATTTTTTTTTTCAAATGTTCTGGCTCAGTGTCTATGTCTCTATGACTCTGACTATACCTACACTCCTATCAATAGAATCATACAGTATTTGTCCTTTGTGACGGGGTTATTTCACTGAGCATAATGTCCTCAAGCTTCATCCATACTATAGCATATCAAAATTTCTTTTAAAGGTTGAATAATATTTCACTGTATGGACACAGCATTTTGCTTATCCATTCACCTCTTGATGGATACTTCAATTACTTCCACATTTTAGCTATTGTGAATGCTGCTGCTGTGAACACAGGTTTACAGATACCTCTTTGAGACCCTGCTTTCATTTCTTTGGAGTATATATGCAAAATGGAATTTCTTAATCACATGGCAATTCTGTGTTTAATTTTTTGAGGAACTGCCACACCGTTTTCCACAGTGACTATACCACTTTATATTTCCATTATCTGCAAAGAGGTTCCAATTTCTCCACATACTCACCAATAATTATTTATTTTTTTTTTAAAGTAACCTTCCTAATGAGTGTGAAGCAGTATCACAGAATAGTTTTGAACTGCATTTCCCTCATAACTAGTGATGCTGAGCATCAGCATCTTTTCATGTGCTTATTAGCCAGCTGCATATTTTTCTTTGGTGAAAGGTCCATTCAAGTCCTTTGCCCATTTCTAAATTGGGTTGTTTTTTTGTGGCTAAGACTTCCTACTATTTTTAATGATACTACTTTGATTTAAGTGCTCTGTCTGGTAGAATTCCCAATGATCACTTTAACATTTTCTAAATAGAAAAAGAAAACAAGACAAATCATCTTTCTGGTATGGTTTTGGTTAATGACTTCTCCAGGAACTATCATTATTCTGGGGTTTCAACTATAGATATAGAACTTAAATACAAATTAATTGTCATAATTAAAATAATATTAAGAGGTGTAAGCTGAAAGACGTTTGTAGTTTGCTCAGTTATAAGAAAACAACAATTAAGGCCAGGCTCGTGGCTCACTCCTGTAATCTCAGCACTTTGGGAGGTCAAGGCATGTGGATCACAAGGTCAGGGGACTGAGACCTCAAGCCTGGTGACAGAACGAGACTCTGTCTCAAAAAAAAAAAGATAATGAACAGTCAAAATTTGAGGTTAAAAAACCATTTTTACCTTTATTATCCTTATCCATTTTAGGAAGAAATACATATGTGCAGGCTCAACCATAAGAAAATAAAATTATACTGAAAAATGTAGAAGACATCTTACCGGATCTGTTGCAGTGATATGGGCATTTTAATTTGCTGGTAATAATCAGGGTATTTTTTCTTTGAGGGCAAATGGAAAAAAGGTTCAGCTATTAGCTGCCCTTGGTTATTCCGACAACTCCTAACTGTGTCATAAAGCTGATAAAAAGGATTTGAAACATCCATAAAGGAAGTGATGCTTTCTGCTTCTGACTCTCCCTCTTCATAACGTGCAGCTGGAAAAACAAAAAAAGTATTTATAAGGGGAAGAATGAGATGAAGAAAGAACCACACTTTAAAGTTCATTTCACAACCTTCTAGACTGAATTATATATACTTGAGACTTATTATTTTCATTTTTGAGACAAGGTCTGGCTCTGTCACCCAGGCTGGAGTGCAGTGGTGCAATCTTGGCTCACTGCAACCTCTGCCTCCAGGGCTCAATTTTCCTGCTTCAGTCTCCCGAGTAGCTGAGACCACAGATGCACACCACCACGCCTGACTAATTTTTTGATTTTTTAGTAGAGATGGGGTTTCATCATGATGCCCAGGCTGGTTTCAAGCTCCTGAGCTCAGGTGATCCACCACCCTCAGCCTCCTGAAGTGCTTGGGATTACAGGTGTTAGCCACCACGCCAGGCTCTTTTTAAAAAAATTATAAGATAAATAATTACTTTTAAAAAAACGGTCTCTAAGGCTGGGCATGGTGGCTAATGCCTGTAATCCCAGCACTTGTGGGAGGTCGAGGCAGGTGGATCACAAAGTCAGGAGGCGGGGACCAGCCTGGCCAACATGATGAAATCCCATCTCTATTAAAAATACAAAAAATAGCTAGGTGTGGTGGCGTGCACCTGTAATTCCAGCTACTCGGGAGGTTGAGGTACTCCTCTTTTTCATATAGAGAAAACTGGGCAGGTGAGGTTAATTACTTGCACAAGTTCAGCCACCACATAAAGCAGTTAAAGGGGACTGGGAACCAGAGTCATGGAACTAGAAGCAGGTTAAGAATTTGAAACTAGTCTTTTCTGACTCTACTACCTCTGATCTCTCCCCTAAAGAGCTTGGAGTTGGATTTACACCTAGATATATATTTTGTTGCTCCTGTAAGCTGCATCTTTAAAAAAAAATTATCAACTGTAATCCTTACACAGCTTTTCTGATCCTTACACCTTCACTGTTGTCATTGTAGGCTGGCTAGTACTATGACTATCAAAGCTAACAGTACTGCCCTGTTTCTATTGGTAAGGAAAATGCTGTCACCTTTTCTCAGTTAAAAATGGAGACACCTTTGGTGGGCACGGTGGTTCACATCTGTAATCCCGACAATTTGAGAGGCGGAGGTGGGTAGATTGCCTGAGCTCAGGAGTTTGAGACCAGCATGGGCAACATGATGGAACCCCGTCTCTACCACAAATACAAAAAATTTGCTGGGTGTGTTGGCACATGCCTGTGGTGACAGCTATGCCGGAGGTTGATGTGGAAAGACTGCTTAAGCCTGGGAGGTGAAGATGGCAGTGAGCTGAGATTGGGCCACTGCACTCCAGCCTGGGCCACACAGTGAGACCCAGTCTCAAGAAAAAACACAGGCTGGGAGCAGTGGCTCACACTTGTAATCCCAGCTACTTGGGAGCTGAGGCAGGAGAATTACTTGAATGGGACAGGGAGGTTAAAGTGAGCAGAGGTTGCAGCAGGCAGATGCTGTGCAACTGCACTCCAGCCTGGGTGACAAGAGCAAAACTCTGTCTCAAAAAAAAAAAAAAAAAAAAAGATAGTCTGTATTAATCCCCCTTCTCTTACTAGTTATCAGATAATTTTTATCTTGAATGGAAACTGAAATAGTTATCAAATGCATTTGCTGAGTAAATCATATGATTTTACTCTTTTGTTACTGTGGTGAATTTACTTTTTAAAAAAATTTTTATTTTTATTTTTTATTTTTAATGAAGCACTGTGGTTTGTATGAATTTACTTTTTTATCTTTTCTAATGCTAACCCCAACTGTGTCATTATATACCATCTTTTAAATATCACTGCTAGACAGTGTGCTTATATTTTGTTAGGCTTTGATGTCTAGGCTATATTAGATTCACAGGTTATATTAGATTCATAGAATGAACTCGGGAGCTCTTTTTCTGTTCTCTGCATTGAGTTTATACAAAATTCTATTCCTTAAGTGTCTGGCCTGGTGTTTAAGAGACACAGAGTCTCACTCTGTTGCCAAGGCTGGAGTGCAGTGGTACAATCATAGTTTAAGGTAAACTCAAACTCCTGGGCTCAAGCAGTCCTCCTGCCTCAGCCTACAAAGTAGGTAGGACTACAGACATGCAACACACCACACCCAGCTAATTTTTCTTTTTCTTTTTGTAGAGATGAGGTGTCACTATATTGCCCAGGCTGGTCTTGAACTCCTGGATTCAAGTGATCCTCCTGCCTCTGCCTCCCAAAGTGTGGATTACAGGGGTGAGCCAGCCTTTTTATTCGGGAATCCATTTTAGGCATTTGTCATTTTCTAGAAATCTGTTCATCTAAATTTTAAAATTTATTTTCATAAAGTTATTCACGCTTTTTTTTGGGGGGGGGTGGGGGTGGGGGACGAAGTCTCACCCTTGTTGCCCAGGTTGGAGTGCAATGGCACGATCTTGGCTTACAGAAACCTCCACCTCCCAGGTTCAAGCGATTCTCCTGTCTCAGCCTCTCGAGTAGCTGGAATTACAGGCATGCACCACCATGCCTGGCTAATTTTGTATTTTTTTCTTCTTTTTGAGACAGAGTCTCGCCCTGTGGCCCAGGCTGTAGTGCAATAGCATGATCATGGCTCACTGCAACCTCCGCCTCCTGAGTTCAAGTGATTCTCCTGCCTCAGCCTCCCAAGTAGCTGGGATTATAGGTGTCCACCACCACACTCAGCTAATTTTTTATATCTTTAGTAGAGACAGGGTTTCATCATGTTGGCCAGGCTGGTCTTGAACCCCTGACCTCATGATCCGCCCGCCTCGGCCTCCCAAAGTGCTGGGATTACAGGCACGAGCCACCATTTCCAGCCCCATAATTTTGTATTTTTAGTAGAGACAGTGTTTCTCCATGTTGGTCAGGCTGGTCTTGAACTCCCAACCTCAGATGATCCACCTGCCTCAGCCTCCCAAAATGCTGGGATTACAGGAGTGAGTCACCGGGCCTGGCCTCATTCACACATTCTTTTTAAAAATTCTGTATGCTCTCCTCCCCACCAATATTGTTTACTTATGCCTTCTTGATAATCTCATCTCAGATTTGTTTATTAAGGGTTTTGACAGAATAACTTTTGACTTTATTGATCTTTCCTGTTAAAGGTTTCCTTTCTTTTTCTTTTTTTGAGACAGGGCTGGAGTGTAGTGGTGAGATTCTGACTCAATGCAGCCTCAACTTCCCAAGCTCAAGTGATCCTACCACCTCAGCCTCTGGAGTAGCTGAGGCTACACATGGCTAATTTTAAAATTTTTCTTGTAGAATTAGCTGGGTATCGTGGCAATGTACCTGTGGTCCCAGCTACTTGGGAGGCTGAGGCGGCAGGATTGCTGGAGCCCAGGGGTGGAGGTTGCAGGGAGCCGAGATCAGACCACTGCACTCCAACCTGGGTGACAGAGTGCAACCCTGTCTCAAAAAAAAATTTTTTTTTTGGTAGAGGCAGGGTCTTTCTATGTTGAACGGGCTGGTTTCAAACTTCTGGACTCAAGCGATGCTCTTGTCTCATCCTCTAAAACTGCTGGGATAACAGGCACAAGCCAGTGCACCAGCCTGCATTGTTTTAAGCCACTAAGTTTGTGGTACTGTGTCAGCAGCAATAGGAAACAAATACATACATGAAGAAGTGTGTTCAAATCTCTATCTTCACTGGTTTTCTGTTTAGCTAGAGGGAAGAGGGCTCTTAGACTAAGGGTAGTGTTTTAAATTTCTCTGTAAAGTTTAATCTGCTTGTTTTACATATTTTGAGCTCTTCCACAATTTATCTTGCTGAAGAAATTAACCTTCTACCAGTATCAGGTAATCCTTTTTATTTGTGTAATGATCTTTGTTTGCAGGTCCATCTTATCAAAAGTCAATGTAGCTACTCCGGTTATTATTTGCCCGGTGTATCTTTTAGCCATCCTTTTTTTCTTTTAGTTAAGACAAAAGCCCAAATTTATTATTTTTATTTAACTACACATGGCTAATTTAAAAATTTTTTTTAAATTTATTTTTTGAGAAGGGTCTCATTCTGTTGCACAGGCTGGAGTGGAGTGGTATAATCACAGCTCACCGCAGCCTCGACCTCTCTGGGCTCAGGATCCTCCCACCTCAGCTTCCCAAGTAGCTAGGACTACAGGCATGCACCAACACACCTGAAAAAAATTTTTATCTTCTGTAGATACAGTATTTGGCCATGTTGCCCAGGCTGGTCTTGAACTTTTGGGCTCAAGCGATCCTCCTACCCAGGCTGCCCAAAGTGTTGGGAGTATGGGTGTGAGTCACTGCACCTGGCCTTATCCTTTTAGATTCAACTTTCTTATATTTTTATATTTAAGATGTGTCTCTTGTAATCAGCCATATAACCTCTTT